AGGTGGTGATGGACTCTCTCTCTCTCTCTCTCTGGTGCGTGCACAGGCTTGCGGATTTTCCACTTTTTTTCCTTCTTTTTAATTGGTCCCGATGGACCATCCCGCTCAAGCCCGTGTCTGCTCCCTCCCTCTGGTGCGTTCCCGTCATCTCTCTCTCTCTCTCTCTCTCACTCTCTCTCTCTGGACGATGGATCAGATATGAAACTGCATCTTACGCAACCGTTTCTTTTTTTTTTTTTTTGTAAACAGTCTCGATGGACCATGGATCCCATACCATCTTGCTTCGTTGGGAGGGGGGCCTGGGCAGATAGTAGTTAGTTAGATTGGTCTCTCTCTCTCTCTCTCTCTCTCTCTCTCTCTCTCTCTCTCTCTCTCTCTCTCTCTCTCTCTCTCTCTCTCTCTCTCGTTCGCGCGTGCTTTCGTTTTTTTTTTATAAATAAAAAGGTCTCGATGGACCACGGATCAGATATAATACTCAATACTCAACGGAGCAGATACTATGCTTGATCATGTGAGAAGATCGGATATGAAACTGATCGAGGCAGATACTACACTTGATGATCGTATGTGTGTGTATGGGGGGGGAGGCGCACAGTTAGTTAGATTGGGTTCTCTCTCTCTCTCTCTCTCTCTCTCTCTCTCTCTCTCTCTCTCTCTCTCGGTGCTTTTTTTTTGGTGAAAAATAAAAAGGTCTCGATGGACCACGATCAGATATGAAACTGAACGGAGCAGATACTATGCTTCATCATCTGAGAAGATCAGATACGAAACTGATCGAGGCAGATACTACACTTGATGGTGTGTGTGTGTAGGGGGGGGGAAGGCGCACAGTTAGTAAGATTGCTCTCTCTCTCTCTCTCTCTCTCTCTCTCTCTCTCTCTCTCTCTCTCACTCGTGCACGCGCGGGCTTTTTTCCCCCCCTTCTTTTCTAACATAAAAAGGTCTCGATGGGCCACGGATCAGATATGAAACTGAACGGAGCAGATATTACTCCTAATCTTTTGTTGGGGGGGGGAGGGGCGTAGTTGGTTAGATTGCGGGCTGTCCCTCCCTCTCTCACCCTCTCTCTCTCTCGCGCGCGCATCTTGCGCGCATACTTTTTTTTTTTGGACCATGGATCAGATAGTACACTTGATCGTTGGGAGGGGGAGGGCTGGCGCATAGTTAGTTAGTCTGGGGTCTCTCTCTCTCTAGTCTCTCTCCCGCGTCTTGGGCGCACTTGTTTTTTTTTCCACTTTTTAACTGTCTCTATGAACCACGCATCTGATCGAAGCAGATACTGCACTTGGGCGCAGTTGGTTACGAAGGGTTCTCTCTCTCTCTCTCTCTCTCTCTCTCTCTCTCTCTCTCTCTCTCTCGTTCGCTCTTGCACGTGTGTGCTTTTTTTTTCTTTAATAAAATAGAAAGGTCTCGATGGACCACGGAAAAGACATGAAACTGAATGGAGCAGATACTACGCTTGATGATGGGAGAAGATCGGCCACGAAACTGATCAAAGCAGATACTACACTTGATCGTTGGGGGCGGGGGGGATGCGCATAGTTAGTTAGAT